ATAATTTTAGCATAATTGAACTTTATATGTTCAGGGATAGTTCCTATAATTATTCTCTATTTATATTTTTTAATTAAGTCCATATTTTACTTAATAAAATTGATAACCATATCCATTTGTGTTGGATCAAGTCGAGTACAAATTTTTATCTTAAAAGTCGGGTTAAATTTCGAGTATGAATAATCTTCCCTAAATATGAGTTAAATTAAGTGTCGGGTGGGAAAATAAGATGAAGTTTGAAAGAAGAAGTTTGGGGTATTTGAGTTGCGTTAAGGGAATTATATTATTTTTTTATTTTCCCCTATATCTAACATGAAAAAGTAAATATTATTAAAATATAATTTTATCATATCTCAATTAGTAGGTTGACGCCTAGCTTAGATGATCGTCAATTATTTAATAGAAAAAGACGAATTTAAAATATATGAATAGTCATATGATCATTTTATAACGTTTAATAGTCGAGAGACTCGTTCAAATAGTGTCATATAGTCTGGAGATAGTTTGTGTGCTTACCCTTATTTATAATATCACAAGATCAATTAGTTTCGAGTTAAACGTCTCTCTCTAACTAGATAAAATACACACATATATATTATTCTTAATATTCTTCTTGTAAAATGTCTAGGTAAGGTTTATAATATTATTTAATAAATCAAATATCATCTAAAATTATATAATATACTTATAATATTGTTTTTTAAAGAAATTATTTTGATGAAAAGAATATTGATGCAAGTATAAAAGAGAGACAATGAATTGATGTGAAAAAATAATTTACAATAAGTTGCTATCAAATGATCAAATTGAATAATATATAAAATCGATGGATTAAATTGAAAAATATTTTTTTTGTCAAAAAAAGGAATGGACGTTACATATTTCTCTATTGTGGTTGAAGAACATGTGGTTTAAATTTAATAAAAAATAAACTTAAAAAAAAGAATTTAAGAAATAAAAAATAAATGACCAAATCACAAACAATAAAATTATTTAATTAAAATTAAAGATAATCCAAGAAATAAAGAATTCTCTATAATATCGAAATTACAAGAATTTTTGAAAACTAAAACAACACTTGTTGTTCCATGTTCAGCATTGAGGTTGAACAAGAACAATCTTTGAATATATTTATTCAAACCCTTCATCTAAAACCCGACCTACACGAGTTTGAGGATGACTTATCGATCCTAACTTGACTCGATTTTTTGAGATAAAACACGAATCTTTTCTAACCCAATCCGAAATAAATATTTTTATTAAAATATTATTTCTATTCAATTAAAATATGGATCTAATTGAAAAAAATAATATATAGGATTATTATTATACTTATCCTTAAATATATAAGGTAAATTTACATTATTTTTCAGATTGGGTCGGGTATTTTTCATCTTAAACCCGACCCGAACATATTTTCTAAAAAATCAACCCGATCTAAACTCGATTTTTTTAAAGAATCTTACTCGATTAGGTCGAAACTCATCAAAATTTGAGTTTCATGCCCTCCCTAGGTGTGGTAGTGTGATTACCTCACAATCTTGTTCATAATCCAATTAGGGCTATGGCAGGATGATCCTATGTGTAAACACTTATTTTGTCCGGGTCGAAAAAAAATTATTTATTTATTTATTATTAGTAGTAGTATTATTTAATTAATTTACAATTACTTTTGCAGACCAACCGAGGCCCAAAACCCAAGCCCAGCAATACAAGCTCAAAACCTGCACCCATAGCCCAATCCATTAACCCAAACGACCCGACCCGACCCAAGGTCTAATCCGTACCAGTCTAACCTGAATGAGGCTCGAATCTGACCCGGTTCATATCATTAAGGGTTAGCATTTTAAACCCTAAAATATCTTTAAGCCGCCGCCGCCAGTGATGTTCCAGCTTCCCATCCGGTGCGTTCACTTCATCGCCGTACCCCCGAGCTGCGTGAGTTGCCGCCGTTGACCTCCTGAGCCACCATTGGAGCTGATCATCGCTGTTGTCACCTACAGTGATCGAAGTTCCATCAAGCCATCTATCAGTCCTTCAACAGTGAAAAAAAGCAGCAGAAAATAAAAAAATATCCTCACTATCCCGAGGAAATCTTAAGATGTCAAAAAGCATTTTTTTCAGGCAACATCAATCACAACAAAACAAAGACATACATTAAAATAGGAGGAGAGAAGACATAGAACCGTTCGGGTGGGAGAGAGAAAAAATACGAGAGAGGGAGAAAGAGAAAAAACACAGAGGATTTGAAAAAAAAGGAACGAGAGTGAGAATCGAACCCAAACAAGAACAAAAAAAGAAAAATATAACAAAAAGAAGAGATTATAAACTTACCAGGTGTTCGAAGTCAGTCAGGAACGCTAACGGTCGCCGATTTCCGAAACCTTCGAAAGGTAAAGTGTTAAATCTGGGGTGTTGGGTTGAGTTTTAGGATACAAGGAGGCTATATCTAGGTTGAGGGTGATGAGAGGTTTATTTTGGGATTGTTTGGGTCGCTCCAGCCGTCGTACGTCGCCGTGGACTCCACCGACCCTTTTTCTTCTCCGATAAGGGAGTTGAGAGAAAATGATTTTCTCTCTCATCCCTTTGTTTCTAAGCTGAAGTAAATGAGGATTTCGGGAGAAAATAAGTCCTTTGATGGGGCTTATATATGGCCAGCAAAACGACATCGTTTCAAGGGGAAGGTATCAACGAGTTTTTTTTGAAAAAAGGTTAATATCAAAGTTAGTCCATGACTTTTGTATATCTCACCCGTGTTTTTATTTTTCTATGGGTTAATAGCACCCTAGGTCCTCGCTCTTTTGTAATATTACCCGTGTTTCTTACATTTTTAGGGTAAATCGCAGTATAGGTACTCCATGTGTTGTAATGTGCCATTTCAGACAGTTAATGAATTATATTCTATTTTATTGTGAGTATTAATGTTTTATTATTTTTATTTTAGTCATGTTTTTACTTATTCTGTTATTATTGTGAATATTTGACTTTGGTCACAATGTTTGTAATTATTTCAGTTTAGTCACTGTGTTGTACACTGTTATATTATGGTTTAATTATTATTTGATCCTCCATGTTTCTAGTTTATTTTATTTTAGTCCATAAACATTACTTTGGGATATTTTCATTTCTGGTGCCGGTATTATTTAACATTTTCGATTTGGGTTCTGGTTTATTTTTATTTTGTGTTTTAGTACTTTAAATTTCTGTTTTGCTTTGTTAGTCCCTTAACTTTCGGTTTTTACTATCATAGCCCTTTAAGTTTCTGTTTTTGTCTTTTTATTCCTTTAATTTTCTGTTTTGCTTTGTTAGCCCTTTAACTTTATGTTTTTGCTATTTTAGTCCTTTAACTGTCTATTTTTACTATTTTAATCCTTTAAGTTTCTATTTTTGTTTTGCTGTGTTAGCCCTTTAACTTTATGTTTTTGCTATGTTAGCCCTTTAACTATTTTTATTTTTTTATTTGTATTTTAGCCGGCCATGTTGTAAATGTGTATTTTAGTCCAAATTTGTAATTGTGTTTTATAGTTATAATTTCATGTATGTATGTAAAAAATGGAAAATTTCTTTATGCGGGAAATCTACGAAGACATCTCCCGACTATAAGGGAAGCTGTATTTTCAAGGATTTTTCGCATAAACGTTGTTTTATATTCGATAACTTTATTTGTTCCACGTTTATTTATTTCGAGTATTTTTCATCGTTTTTCAATTTTATTTTGTTTTGTTTTATTTTATTTTATCTTGGCGAAATTTGTGAATTAATGTTTTTGTGAGGGGAATCTATGGGAAAGTCTCCTAACTATAAAGGAAGTGTGTTCCCGAAGATTATTCACACTTTTTAAATAATAAAATGAATGTAATTTAAATATATTTTCGAGTTTGTAATTCTCAATATTTAAACAATATATAATCGTTTAGGTACCAAAGTTTGGGCGTTGTGGGGGTGCTAACCATTTCCCACACGTAACCGACTCCCGAACTCTTAAAAACGAATCTTTGGTAAAACACATACCGTTTTTTTCGTTTATGGTTTTCAACCTACCTAACTTAATGGTTGGTGGCGACTCCAAAATTAAACTGTTTTCCAAAAATATTTTATCACCTTCCCCGAAAACAAATTTTTTAAGTCTAACGGACTCTCCCGGGGAGACGTTATGACACTATGCACTTGAAGGAATCAACCTGGCTGGACAACAATTGAGGTCGAAAAAGGATGATCGTCGGAGGATGCTTTTACGTCGGCTTCGAAAGACGAAAAACTCTCAGTATATTCGACGGAAAACCGATCAAAAAGAGAATCTTTGTTCCCAAGATCTTAAATTTTATCTTGGATCGTCAAAACACCAAGGCGAGTGGCGTTCAGTAATACTCATGCTGCCGGTATTTATATTCATGCCCAGTGGCGGAACTCAGCATGCAAACACCACATTACAAATGCATATCAAAGAACACATGTGCGGATGTTTCATGTTCGAAATCGTACGACCATATTTCACGAGCTCTGAAGTTTGAACATTGAAACTCCTCTTTTGTTGTTTTTACTTTCAAGAACAAGACGGCTCCCTATAGGATTGTTGTTGTTGTTGTTGGATCTTGGCTTTGGGCATCCATAAAATTGGAATTAAGTTAACTATATTTGAATCTGATTAACTTGTCTTTAAAGGAAAATGGGCTATCAGCCAAGAGCCCAACATCCTTTAATGGCGGTGGGCTGTGGCCGGTGGCCGATGGGTGGGTAAGTGGGAAAACGAAAACAACAAAAACCAACCCCAAATCGATAGTTTCGCTGTTGACATGGCCGATACAACCAATCGCATCGACCCAGCATAGTAACCTATGAAGTAATTCTTAAAATCTTTGAATGCTCCGTCCGTCCCTTTCAAGCCATGTGTCCCAGAAAGAAACTAAAAGCCCTTCAATGTAAACACATTCTCTTTTTTTTTCTTTATTCTTCTTATTGCTTGTTGACTGATTGGATTATTATACAAGAAACCATTATATTTATGAAGAATTGGGAGATGATAGAAGCTAGCTTGTAAGTTAGGAAGTGATTATTGCCGGAAAAATCATGAAGAAGAAAGCCGTCGCTGCCGCCTCTCCGGTACCAGTTCGCCACGTTGTCTGGTTAAGCTGGAAACTCGTCTTCTTCTTCTCTTTTGCCCTTTTCTTCTATGCTCTCCTCCTCCTCCATTTCTCCCCGGAAATCTCTCCTCCCACTAACTATCTCTCTCGCGCGCGTTTGAGATCTCGTATTCCTCGATATAACAACTTCAACGGCACCCCTAAGATCGCTTTCCTCTTCCTTTCCCGCTTCAATCTCCCTCTCGATTTTCTCTGGGGAAGCTTCTTTGAGGTATTTTACAAAATCCATCTTTCCTTTTTCCTCCACTTTTACCAAAATTTAACCTTTTTTGATGTGGGATTTTGTTACAGAACGCTGACACGGCTAACTTCTCCATTTACATTCACTCCGCCCCTGGCTTCGTCTTCGACGAATCGACTTCTCGGTCGCATTTCTTTTACAATCGCCAATTGACTGATAGCATTCAGGTGGTTTACTACTCAAAAGATTTCAACTTTTTTTAACAGTATTCGGATTCATGGATCGCATCATATTCGTTGCAGGTTTCTTGGGGAGAATCGAGTATGATAGAAGCCGAACGGTTGTTACTTTCAAATGCTCTAGAGGACCCTGCAAATCAGAGATTTGTTCTTCTGTCTGAAAGGTCTGTACTTTTTAACTAATTTACCTTATGGCAGTTGATGGTAGGCCCAAGATTTTATGTTAGATGATTAATTTATAAAATTTAAGCTTTAAGGGTGCGGATATATAAAATTCTAGAATCGAAAACAGATTATCAATAAAAAAAATACAAAAACATATCTAACTTTTCGGTTCATCCTTGTTGATGGGTGCTTTTTTGTTAATATTATAATTAATGTAATGAAGGTTTTGTTTCTAACAGCAAGTTGTGTTATATTTGTGCAGTTGTGTACCTCTATACAACTTCAGCTATATCTATAGATATCTTATGGCTTCTCCTAGGAGTTTCGTGGACAGTTTTGTGGACAGGTAGATGGCGGGCCTTTTTCATTCTTGAGGTGCCAAGCATTGAGTGATGTATTCAGTCATTTTTTTCTTTTTTCTTTTATACATAATACATCAGGGGGGAAAAAGATTGAATGATCTTTGAACAAGTTCTTGTTTTGATTTGAAGAAATGAAAAATCTTGTTTTGCAGCTTTCTTGATTTGAAGGATGGGCGTTACCACCCTAAAATGTCTCCTGTTGTACCGAGGAACAAGTGGAGAAAAGGATCTCAGGTTATATTTTGGGAAATTTTGATGATTTGATCTGAGACTTTTGAATTCGAATAACTTCATAATTAGGTTCAATAGAGCTTGTTTCGAATTTTGATCTCTTGTCTGCCCTACATATTTTATGTAGATCTGGCTTTAACATTGAGAAATGCTGTTATATGAATTGCAAAGCCAACTTCCTTCAGCAGCCAAATGGCTGAACTGCCCCATTTTCCCATTATTCATCATTGTGCATTTCTATGAGTTCAGTACGCATTTTTTGTATCGATGGAATTTAACTTGCCTTGTATTTGCAGTGGATCTCTTTGATAAGGAGCCATGCCGAAGTCGTTGTAGATGATGAGGTTGTTCTTCCGGTCTTTAAGAAATTCTGCAAGGTATGCTGTTGAAGTGTTGATTATAGTATATTATGTGTTTATTTTCGATCAATTTTCTCTTCTCGTTATTGGAAAATATTCCTATCAACAGATTATGTCTTTTTAGAGATATTTCCCCCTTCTTTGGCATGTTGCTAGGATAAGATATTGGATCATATGAAACTTCAATCTGAAACTTAAATTTACTTCTTGATTTGCAGCGACGGCCTCCTGTGGACACCAGTAAAGGACGGCTGAATATTGTAAGAGTTCAATTCCCAAAATGAATGCAATGAGGCTGATTAATAGGAACCTTTTCTCAGTTTTGATAGTCGATTCAGGGGCTAGAATATTGATTTAGTAGTGAGATCTGATCCCCATAGGTGTCATAGTTTCTCGTGTTTCGTAGATATGCTCAAGTTTAGTGTTTCAGATATTATGACCGAGAATCTACTTCCTTCAAAGTGATTGATGACTTACTTTTGACTGTGCAGAAACTTCAAAAACAGCATAATTGTATCCCGGATGAACATTACGTGCCAACATTGTTTGCGGTAAGTAAACAATCAGTATATCCCATTCCCATGTGTTCTCTTTTCCGAACTATTTTCTGTTTTTTTCTTAGCTTTTTAATGGGTGTCCTCTAGCCATATTCTTGATAAGTAAAATTAGTCCTAGTTTTCATACATGATTTTTCTGATTGTGTTTCATTTGAAATCACATTTCTAAGTAGTCCTAGTTTTCTTTTTACTCATCAGATGAGCGGTCTCGAAGGTGAGATAGAACGAAGATCACTGACCTATACCCTGTGGAACCAGTCGGCTACGAAAATGGATAACAAAGCTTGGCATCCTGTTACATTCAACTATGCAGATGTTAGCCCTAAACGACTCAAAGAAATAAAGGTTATCATTTTGACTTGTTTTATTTATTAGTCGGATTTTTTTTCGTATGTGTTCTACTTTATGCATTTGTTTTATTTTAGTCATATTCTGATCTTTATGTTTCAGTTTTGCATTGTTCTTTATTGATCTTAATTGACATATTTTCATGGTCCATTATTCTGCACCTTGTATCTCATCAATTCCAACTACTTGACTATTCGAACAGGACATCAACCATATATACTACGAGAGTGAATCCCGGACAGAGTGGTGTCGAGTTAACTCTACATCCGTTGCTTGTTTTTTATTTACCAGGAAGTTCTCAAGAGGAGCCGCCTTGCGCCTTTTGAGTGAGGGGGTGGTTGCTCCCTTTGATACCTCGTCGTTATTAGGCAATTCGTCTTGATTGCCGACCACAATATCTAGAACCGCCCAACTCTCAGCTGATCCGCCTATAAAGAACAATTAGGGTGACAAGCAGATTGCCTGCTAAAGTTTTGCCTGATATACAACACTACTGTATACGCAGAAATAGTTATTAGATTCGAAACAGATTCTGGAGGCAGATAGAGGAGTTAGAAGATCAAACACAGTGCAGGAGTTGAATACCCCATTGACATTGGTGTTAGCTGTCCGTCTGATTGGTCATATATGTTTTACTGGCCGGGAAAAGTTTGACGCTTGCATTACATTTTGTATAATTATTTTTAGTGTAACAACTCCATAATTACAATAATTATCATAGATATTACAATGATCATAGTTATTTCCCATAACAGAATCGACAGTGTAGCAACTAGTTCATATTTCGGGTGAGCATTTTAACCGGAGAAAAATGTGGTAACCGTATTGTGCAGGTCGATAAAACTCCACCCCGGGAGTCTTCTCAAGCCTCGAGACCTCGTTTGGATGAGCGTAACAGAGAAGTGCAAGCTTTGAGGAGGCCGGGAAACGTGTGGGAATCTGGGTGTGTTGGATATGCAGGTGGGAGGACTTCATTGTGGGATCCTTGTGAGGAGGAACTGATTTAACGAAAGACTCAAACAATTACAAATTGCGGAAACAATGAGGTTAATTTTCCAGCCGAACAATAAGAATCGAATTTCAGATCAAACAATTACAATTACAGTTTTATTAGCATTATTTAGAAGGAACAAACAAGTTCAATGGATTCTACTATCAGTCAGTGTATTCTCTCTCGGATCAAACCACATCAACCCGGCGTAACAAAATAACAACCCGATGATTATGTTTAACAACAATGCAGCGTTTCATTTCTTCTTTGGATATTCCCTTGCCCCAAAGATGGTTGATCCAACTCTGACATTGGTACTGCCCATTTCAATCTGCGGAAACAATGAGACAATCCATTAGACGGTCGTTCTCTCGTAAGCTTTAAAAGAATTGAATGCTACTTCTATGGGGTTTGGTTAGGGAATATAACACAATAGGTACATGAGTATAAAGGTACAACCCTACAAGGGTTCTCGAAATATATGAGAAACTTCGGAAAAAAATTAAGTATACTCATATCTAACACACCCAAATTTGAGTAACATAGCATGGTTTTGTGCACGGTATGTGGCAGGAGCACAACAATGTTTCAGTACTAAAGTGTAGACAAAGCCAATTGCATACAAATCTAAAGTTTTCCTTATCTAGATGGTAATGGGAAAACAATCCTTACAGCTAGCTCAAAGTCGCCAGACATTCCCATCGACAGTTCACATTGTTCTTCTGGTATTCCAAGAGCCTTGCAGACTTCACTTCGGCAATTTGTTAATCTCTGAGTATCAAATAAATATTGTTAGAAAAATAAAGAATCGATTGAAAAGGACGGAAAAACCGAGATAAGAACTCCAGCCACCTTGAAATTCGCCGGAGTTGATGTATAATCAGGCATCCCGATTGTCATCAATCCACAAAATTGAAGATTCGGGCAATTCAGACTAACATGTTTTGCAAGTTCCACACAACCTGAAGGCTCAACACCAGATTTTGCTGCAATAACATGATGCAGGGAAATACTATGAAAACAACCTCCAAGTGATTGATAAAAGCAGCTTCTTTGTCAGCAAATATACTTGACCTAATCTAACTAGGTACTTAGCCCCAATGAACTAGGTTCCAATACCCATGTTGATAGAGCATAGTACGGAACCGGAAGCTAAAGAAACAAGACCAGTTTTATCTAGCAAACTTAAAGACAAAGTCATGACAACAAGCTTGAACGTGCAAAGCCTTGACACAACTCAACGAAAAACAATATATTTTCGTTGTAATAAAAAGAAATTTACTTACATTCCTCTCCACTGGTGTTCACCTGGAGTAAGACTTTCAAAGGCTTTCTTTCAAAGTTTCCAACCGCACGATTAAGATGATTTGCAATCTAGCCCAAAATAAGGAAGATGCTCAGCTTAATAAGGAAAAAACACAAATACTTGGCCACAGTATGAATGCTGTTCTTGACACTATCAATTGAAAGCTTTGACATAATGATTAATGATATAAAAAACAAAATCATATCAGTCATTCTCACTAAACTAGATTCAAAATTAGGTATAAATTAATTAAAAAAGTTCTCTAATTCTGTCTCCAATACATAAAGGAACAATTTATAGCAATTATACTAATGGAAATGAACAGAATTACCTTCTCATCATCTACAGTTTCCACTATGGCGAGGTTCGGCACACCAGCTGTGTAACAATGAATAATAAGTAAACACACAACAAATATTGCCCTCCAGAAGTACAAGCAAAACCAAATTAAGTAAAAGTTCAATTTCAGATATCCATGAAAAAAACTCAGCTTAGAAGCAGTAATAATAAACTATGATGTAAACAAAGACATTTTAATCGAAAGTCCCTAATAAAAACGTAGCTTTGCTTACCAATCAAAGGCTTCACTTTATTGCTCTGCAAATTCCCAATAAAATGCCACTCTATGTCATCCGGAAGCTGCGATTGCAAGCACGGAAATGATTATTACTTCGGTACTTTATCATTTTCAAAATGGAAATGATTTTTTTGACTAGTTCGAAGTTTTTTCTTTTGAATGAAGTGGAGGAAGAACCTGAGGGGCTTTCTCGACAAGTTCTTGGACGTAGTTTTCGCCGAAACATCGATGACCGGCGTCGTAAACTTGGCGAACGAGGGAGACGGGTTTCGTTTTACTGACGGCAACGACGCGGATCCGCTGCGATTCACGACCACATCGCTCGGCGGCCTGGTGGACTCTCTGGAGAACTGAACGTAGAGCCGACGCTGCTATTCCGTCAATCGCCGCCGACGAGGTTGCCATCTCTTGTTCTTCTTGTTGTGGGTAGAGATCCGGTTTGGACTCTTCCAGATTGTTCATCAGTATTTGTGATTCTTATTTCCTTCGCTCTAAGGAGTACTTCTCCTCCCCTTTCGCTCAGTTCAGCATCGGGATTAAGCAAAACGATGCGTTTTAACCATAGAATAATACGGTGCGTTTTTAGCGATGACACTGTTGATTGACTTTTTTGTGCCACGCGTTTTTTATCTAATGGATTTTTATTGGAACGTCAATTTGAAAAGGCTTAATATAAAAAGGTAATTACATATTTTTCTCATTGAATTTTATTCTTTCTCTTATTTTATTTATCGTATTTTTAATTTTTTTAATTTGGTCACTGAACTTAGACATTGAATTTTTTTGTTACTCAACTGTTAAATTTCTAACGATGTTAAATTAAAATTGAAAAAACTAAAAGTATAATTAGTAAAATAGGAGAGAGAGAGTAAAATTTAGTGAGTAAATGTGTAACATGTTTTATTATTAAAATAAACCACGTGAGCACACCGTTACTGAGTAAACGGTTGAGTGACCAAAAAGTTCGATGTCAAAAGTTTAATAAGTAAATTGAAAAAATTGAAAGTACAATGAGTGAAATAGGAGAGAGAGTAAAGTTCAATGAGTAAGCATGTAATTTACCCAATATAAAAACAAGTGTTCAAACTATCCTTGAAAATTAACTTTTGTGTCTAAAGAATATTGGGTAAACTATACGTTTAATACCTAAACTATTAGTTTTGATTTGTTTTAGTACATAAACTTTCAATTTTTCAATATCATACCTAAAGTTTAGTTTTTGTTTCATTTCAGTACCATGTTTAAAACTTAACATTAAATTATGAAGAAAATGAAAATTTTATGTATTAAAATGGACCAAAACTGATAGTTTAGGTATTAAACATGATTAGTTTTTAATGGCGAAATTGCTGAGGTACTAAAATGAAACAAAAACTAAATGTTAGGTATGATTTTAAAAAAATTAAAACTTTAGGTACTAAAACAAGCCAAAAACTTATAGTTCATATACTAAACGTATAGTTTAGCCAATTTTTTTGTTAAAAGTAGGCGATAACGTTTTCTCCGGTACACATTTAGGTGTCTACCTTTTAAAAAATATTAAGTGACATTTAAAAAAATATATTTTATTTTTAAAAAATCAATAAATATATATATGTGACACATATTATTTATCAGTTTTTAACGATAGACACATAAAATTGTTTAGGCAGTAAAATTAATTTTAGGAATAGTTTGGACACTTATTTTTATATTAAGTCATTTTGTAAGCTATTAATGTTAGGATAAACTAGAGGTGGCAAACGAGTCATTCAGATCCGGTTTGGATCGGGTAATTTCGAATCTATATTAAATTTGGTTTAATTTTGTTCGGATCAGATCAGATCTGGTACGTGTGTACAGTGAATTGGGTCGGGTCAGGTCAATTTTCGGGTCGGGTGGTTATAGGATCGATAGTTTTACGGTTCGGATCAATATCAGATCGATTGATTTTTGGAATGGGTCAATATTAGGTCAGGTCAATACTGGATCGATTGATTTTTGCGTCAGGTTAATACCGGATCGGTTAGATCTTGGGTTGGATTAATATAAGATCAGTTGATTTTCGGTTTAAGTCAACATATAGATCAGGTCAATTCGGGTTGAATTAGTTATAAGTATAATAAAAATCAAGTATATATAAAATAATTGATATATACTTGTAAAAATATGTCTTCATATTTGTTAATTTTATCATTTATGTTTACTTTCAATTCTCAATCGTTCAATATTTTGAATTAAACCATCATTTAGAGATGATAAATCGATAATTTGACACTAATACGATCCTATAATATGTGTTAGAATTTGTTATCAAATTTTTATATTAATCTCGCATGAAAAGTTTATAATGAAAACTATTTGATAAAAAATATTTTTTTATTAAAGTTTTTATTTCCAATTATAAATTTAGTATTTTTATTAAATTTAAAAATAATACATAACTTTATTTGTTAAGTTTTAGTCATAACATAAGTAAACTTTATATTATTTTTATTGTAAATCTAATATTATTTCCTTTTTTTTAGTCGTTTTATATAAATATAATATTTTATAACAAGTAAGATAAGTAAACTTTATTTATTACTATTTTCAATCTTACAATTAGATTTTTACTTTTATATTCCTCTTAAACTTTCTATTATTTTATTATAAACCTAATATTTTTAATAAATTATCAATTTTATTTAAATTAATTTATTCTTGAAAATAACTTTTATCGTTTAATAACTTTGATCAATTTCAATATGTTCGGGTTATTTTTGGATCGGGTTAAATTCAGTTCGGGTTATTTTTGGATCGGGTTAAATTCAGTTCGGGTTGCTTTCGGATTGGGTTAAAAATCGGTTCAAGTTTCTTTTGGTTCGGGTTAATTTCA